GTCTCCTTAGGCATAACTCTTCCACCCACACCATAAAAAACAAACCTCTACAGGTATCTATTTTTATTTATGTGTATGGCATCTACAGTAAACTCCTATGGATTATCAGTGCTAGCAGCTTCCTGTAAGTGAGACTTTGGGATATTTTTAACCTCACTCATCATATTTGCACATATTTTCTGGTTTTCAGATACGTTAAGCACAATGAAAGGAGAACACCTCATGCCAGTCAGCTGACCTTGTCCTTGCTATCATATTGAGTTACAGCTTTTTGGTGGCTTCCCATTCAGTACCAAATTTTACTTGAAAGAAAAGATACCTAGGAAAGTGTCCCTGCTGGAAAGTTAATTTATTCAGTAGCAAAGTTTTTGGTTTCAAAACCCTGATTCTCAATTGAAAAATTCACATTGGAGTTACTGCTGCAGTGCACCGTCGGTGCTGCAGCTTAGTCTCAGTTCCCACACAAGATTACATCTCCCATGATGTATTGGTCCTGCTCTTTCAGAAAAGTCCTGGAGGAGAATATGAGAAAAAGTTCCATAACTACCTGTTTTTATAAAGCATGTCAGAGGCACTTCTGAGACAAAATAATGATGCTGAAGGCAAAAAACATATTAGTTTTAGCTAAACATTAAAGGCATTTTTGTTTCTATTCCCTTACTGAGTGAATAACATTCTTGTGGGAACACGTTCTGAAGAAAGAGAATTTGTAAGTGTTGATTTGTTGGTTCAGCTGCTTCTGGTATTGATTTTGTTCCCACTCCCGTTTTCTTTGAAATATTAGGCACTTCTGTGTACTGCTTACAGCCTGTTTCTGAGGCTGTTTCCATGATGTTTCCCTCTGATAATGATTTCTTCAGATGCGCAGCAGTTCTAACTACCCACAGTGTCTGCATCAGCAGTCTGGCCAAGACCTAATTTCCAGCTAGTTTATTTTAAGTGGAAATGAAAGAACTTTCTAAAAAATGTTTTCCAGTGATAGATGTGAGGTTGCACCACGTATCACTGCAAGAGGGTCTGAGGTGGAATGAAGGAAGTCTGACCTCTTGATGATTCCTCTTGGCCAACAATATGTGGCTTTTTTGTACCTGCCAGCTGACACTCTGAGAGGTGGAACAGTGAAGTAGAGCAATGCTTATGAAAAGTCGAAAAACAGGTGTACCTATGGAAATACATGATTTCTAGTTCCACCTTACCAAAAGAGAGGATATATAAAGGTGATCTAATGACATCTGTGCTTCTGTTAGCATGGACAAATCTTCCAAGAACAGCTACACATACACAAAATGCCACTTAGGCAATATAATTTATCCCGTGTTGCTTCATGGAGGAGTTGGGATGGGTGGGAGAAGTTGTAGCACAGCTGTTCGTGGGCATCTCTGCATTCTATTGTGCTGCTTTTTGCATTGTTTCCTTTTGACGATTGAGATGGTACACAGAGGCTCTAGATATGGATTTAGGCCTTGTTACTTGGACTCTGTATGTGTTTGGAAAGGAAAGGTGGCAACTTTTCCAATAAACTTACAGTCTTACTTTATACGTGTCAAAGAAGGAGGTTTGCAATTGTTTTGGAGACAGCGCCCGGATATCTGGGAATTGATCTCTTGGGCTGGTGTACAGTATAAGGATGTCCCATCACTTACTTCCCTGACAGTCAAGGCTGGCAGGGAGACCGGTTAGTTGGTTTCCATGCAATATAATTGACATGACATGATTATCCTGTTTATTGCCTTCCAGCATAAACAGGGGCATCAAGTGACAGCAATTCCATGTGACATCTTGCAGGTTCACCTGGGCTGGTCCTCTTCTCCTGAAGCAGGATCAAGCTTACCTTGTCTGTCACTCTTTGATACATATCTGGGTAGCAATACCCTCTGAAATGAGTTACCTTAGAAAGTTTATAAAATCTCTCTTGCTAGAGCTATCTCTTTTGGAGCTGGAGCAGTTTTTCTAATACTTGTCTTTGTTTATTTCCCTCTGGCCACATAGAGTCACAGATCATTGTCCTCTTTGTATCAATCATTTGGTCATTACAGAACTGACTATTGCCACATTATTTGACAGTCTTTGTTGTTGTTGTTGAATTAGCAAAATCAATTCTTTCAGCTCTTTCTCATATGTCAGGCTAAGTCAATCCTCTTCAATCTGGACATGTTTAATTTTAGTAGGTGGTAACACTTAAAGCCTTTTACAGTGGAGGGAGGAAGAGAAGGGAAGAGAACTGCAACATGGGAAACACTGAGCATCCACTTGTTCCTGACCAGGGCTGGGAGTGTATGCAAAGAGATCTCAGTGCTAAATCTCATCACCTGCACTCACATTTAACATCGTGTATTTGGGATCTGGTCCAAAATTTATCTAAATCTGTGTTGTATATATAAGTTATCAGATGAATCCTGCAACATTATAGTTCTGGAGTATAATTTGTTATTCTTCCTGCAGTGGCCTGGCTGTAATTGCTTGTTTTCAGATTCAAACATCTTTGTCTCTATCTGCATTCTTGTCTTGGGCTATGTTGAGACAGAGGCCTCACAGCTGCTAACTGAGCTGGTGTTACATGTGGATCATCAGGTTGTGGGACTTTGTTTTGTGCTCTTATTAAGGGTGAACAGCCTTGCTAAAGACTGGACTAACTTTTCAGGTTGGCTATAGGTCTGCTGTGTTCAGAGAGGATGAAGGACTGAACAGAGATTTCACCGCTCTATCTAGATAGAAGATTATAAGTCACAAGTTTAGAGCTTCTTTGATACTCTGAAAATATTGAATGCTTGTCTTCTAAATAAGGATTCATAGCTAGTATGTACAACAAGGAGATATCCCAGACCATAAATAAACACATTCTCTGAAACACGCATATATCAGTAGTTCATAACTGACAGAACAGTTGCTGAAGATATTCTCACTCTACCTGCTTATCTGGCACCATCTAAGGAAGTAACTATGCAAAGTTAATATTATCTTCTTCAAATGTTAAAAAATCAGAGGAAGAATTGTTGAAAATACTGTGGGTGAGAGAGCTAGAGAAATTATTTTATCACCTCCTTTAGCAATGAATTGTTATCTACAGGTACATTGCAAATATTCTGTATTTTAAAATTGCAGTAATAAGTCTAAAAATATCCTAATATTACTTTTTTTTTTAGAATTATAGACATCTGCATTTGTGATGTTAAAGTAATTTCTTCCCAGCTATGGACAGTAAGAGGGAAACTATCAAATGCATGCTGAAAAACTGGAAGATGTTTCATGTTCAGACAGTATCAGAAGACTTGAAAGATAAATCATATATAACCTGATTGCACAAATTGCTTTAAGTAACACCTATTCATTGCCACATGGGTTACACCACAAGTTTAAAGAAAGCGTAGAATGAGAGCAAGAGACTGGTAGAGAAAGAATAACATAATTACCAATAAGGCACTGTCTTCTTGTGGGTCATGTGGAAATATTAATAACAACAGTCATTTTTTGTACAATGCTTTTAATCATGGGATGTCAAAGCAGATTACAAAAGAGGAAAGGATCGTTATCACTGTTTTATTGATGGGGAAATGCAGATAAAGAAGCAAGATAAATTTAAATGGAAGCAATTGCCCAGAGTGACTTAGCAGCCTGGAGCAGAGCTGGGACTGGAGCCAACGTGTCATGAGACCTTTTTCAGCAGATTACCCACTTGGTCATGCTGCCTCTCGGCATGTATCCCACAGTGCCAAACTATCTGTTATTATACCCAAATCTGACCTGTTACTGTGATTACAGAATAAGTTGTTAGAGCTGGAGACATTAGAGACAGCTGTAGTTGCCCAGCAGACAAAAGAAATATCCATTGTCCAAAAAATAAGTGCAAACAGTGTACAGGACTGAAGGACAGCAGATTTGCTCCAAATGGGAGGGCTGGAAAGGGTGAACGATGGAGTACAGGGAACGAGTCTCACCACTCTTCACTGCATTTTCAGGGTTTCAGTTTATTACCACAGGTTCATGAGACATCAACTCTTTTATGCACTTAGGAGCAGGTGCCCAGCACTGCTCCTTGCTAAAAAACCCATCATCATCTTAGCAGTATCAGAGAGAATCCTAACCACCAAACATCTACGTGCATCAGGTTAGCCCACAAAAGGAAAGTTAGTTGCGCAGCCATGCAAATACCCAACCTGCCCCTCACCTGAAAACTCTGGCAATCCCCCAGAGACAACTCGTCAACGCCCTGCGGCCATGCTGGGTATAGCTGTGCTCACCCTGCTGGGAGGCTGTTTGCCCCAGCTTGGGGCTGGGGTAGTTCCCAGGACCCCACCCCAAAGTAGCCCCCATGTGTTATGAAAATTTAATGCCATAATTGTAGCTAACTGTGCAACCTTGTGTTACATCAACACCTTTCTCAGCAATCAGAAGTTTCTTCAGTATCAAGGCTCAGTTTAAATCACTAAGATAAAAGTGCATTGCTGTTTTTGCGTATTTGCTGATGGTGAAGGGATGTGATCGCATGTTGGGCGAGACAGTCGGCTCATTACATGGACTGGGCTACAACTATGTGGGGGCAGCAGCCCGGAGGGGGAAGACCCTACCCAGACCCTCTTTAGCTCTTCTGTTCCCCTCTCAAGGGCAACGGACAAAGTTAGACTCTTGTCTAAATGCTCAAAGGGTTAAATAAGTATTTTACCCTTTAAAAAGGTTCTCTTAAAATGTAAACCTTTTTCTTCTCCATCACAGAAATCTCAGGGGAAATACCAATAATGAAGTTTGTTAAGTAAAACTAGCTCTACGTATTTTTTTCTTACCAGCTGTCTTTATTGCAGTAGCTTCTTCGAATCTCCACTAATGACCAGAGCTCCCACCTGCAAGAGGGAACAAATAGCAGTGCTATTGAAAAAGGACCTGTAAGAAAAGTAATAGAAACAATATCTCTTTTTTTGCAGCTTACGGTCTATACAGTGCTATAAGGCTATGCTCTAAGATGGTTATAGTAATTTGTTAGTTACAATATATCTTTTCAAATACAGTTAGTCAAACTGATTGCTATGTAAGCCTGTCCTTGCCCACTGCTTCCCCTGAGACTGTCCGGACCAAAACCATCAAGAACTGCAAAGATCCAGTGTGGAATGAAACATTTTGCTTCAGGATCCAGAGCCAAGTAAAAGTAAGACACAGAGTGCATTTGTTTTTCTTTTGGGGCAGAGATCTCATTGTGTGATCGATATGTAGGGTACCAGAAAAATAAATATGTGTCAGGGACTACAAGGATATGCGTAAGGGGATGTGGACTAGCGTGCAGCAGCAAAATTAAATTTTATTTTCTGGTATATAAAAGATATCCAAGATATTTCACAACTGTTCATATAACGTTCTATGACTTTTCACTTTTTTTTTTTTTTAAAATCACTGCTTTTCAAGAGTAAAGGTGAGAATTTCAGAGTAAGTTGAACAGTATAAAAGACATATAGAGCTAAATAGTGGAAGCATCACAGTGCTGTATGTTTTTACTATTCCTTTGGAACAAACCGCAATGAAAAAAAAATCACAAAACAACAGTTAAAATTTGCAAAAAAGAAGACCAGCTGAGCTTTTACCGTGATGATAAATGTTAGAGCTTAAGAAAGTTTGCAAGTCCTACTACCAACTTCCCCAAAAGACAGGATCAACATCAGAGTCTAGGAGTCCACAAAGATCAGTGATAGGCCAAGTAAGCCAAGCTTACTTCACACCTGGGGCAATCGAGTTCTGCTTTACAACTCGCACCCGTCATTTTCTAGCGCGGGTGGCAGAGCAGGACAAGAGCACTTCTGCCAAGTGCCAAGTCAGCAGGCCAGTCCCCTGGCTCTCTTGAGCACCGATAAACGCCTCCAAAAGAACATTCAGAATAGCTAAAAATGTTACAGCACCGCAGGGTGTCCAGTCAACAATCTCTCTTGCCTTTGTCTGCAGAAGTTGCCCATGATACAAGTTCTCAGGCTTCCTTCCACAGAGTTAGGTGGTACCGGTCCTGTTTGGTGTGGCTTTCGGCTTTAAAACATCTGCTCATCTGTGGCCTACATCCAGTGCTTTCCCTGCATACCTAAAAAAAATACTAACTTCTTTCAAAATACCAGTGAGGCACAATTTCACAGAGCCCTGCAGGTTTATCAGGGAGGCAAAAGGCAAGGGACAAACATTGCAGCATGGGAACAAACACCCACTGATCTGCAACTCTTGCACCAGAACACCTGCTCTTTGCAATGGTTTATGGCTGACAGGTCTTTCCAAACTGCAATACCACACATAACAGCTGAAAAAAAATATCCTGGCCACAGGAAGCTGCTTGAACTTGTTCTTCATGGAGTAGTATTTGGGAAGACCGTATGTTTACTTTGCAGTAAGTTTGCAGGAGGAGACAAGACACCTGGCATTAGCCCTAATAATTTTCAGTGTGACATTGTGGCAGTGGTCGCTGTGGCTTCAGTGTGGGCTGCACAAAATGTGTCCTGGGGATTTGGGACAACCAAAGTGCTCCGACATGTCTGTCACTGCTGCCTTGCTGCTCTGTGGGCTCAACAGACAAAGTGAAGTGTCTCACAGGTTTCTCTGCAAACGCTATAATTGTTCTGCTCATTACTCTCTGAGCAGAGCTGGAGGCTGCTGGTCTGGTTATTTTCTCCTCGCCTGTCTTGTGTATTCATCTTCCTAAATCATGGGAGCCAGAGCTCTGTGAAATCATGTAATGCACTGTCATCGTGGAAGAGAAAAACTTGTTTGGGTATGTCGGGCTGGTTCCCATCAGGAAGAGGAGCGTTTACTGAAAGGCGTCTGTTTTGATGAACATCTGACAAAGCACAGCTGGCAAGGCAGGGCTTCCCGGGCTGCTGTGGGCAGCACTCCCTGGGCTCCAGGAGAGCCACCCTGCCCGGAGCTGGTGGCACACAAAACTGCGGAGAGCTGGCTCGGCTCCCAGCGATGCTGCCCTCACATCCTCTGTCAGGAGCGGGCAGAAAGAGTGAACTGCCCAGAGAGCCCCGGCGGCGTCCCACAGCGTACCCCCGCGGTGCAGCCAGCCGTCGCCCTTAGCCAGCCAGCACCCTGCGCATGCCCCTCCTGGCTAGCTGGGAGTGACTGAGGGACTTCAAATCAGTTGGTCACTAAGAAAATGTCAGCCATTTTGGCCAAATAAGGACAGTCTGTTGCAGTATCGCAGCTAGGAAAACTGATCTGTTCTTCAGCGTAAGCTTTCCTTCTATAAACTACAGCTTTTCAGCATATTCCCTTCAACACCTTCCATAATCCTTTACAGGCTATTTATGGCTGGTCAGTAAACCAAGTTGCTGTGGCTGCTTCTCTCTGCCTCTTGTTGGTATGTTTATCTTAGAAAGTGTGGTGGGCAGGAACCCACCGCTGACCCTATCAGCCCCAAACAGAATTGTTTTTCTGTCTGAAGCACAGTGTGATGCATTTATATGGCCTTAAAGGGCAGCAGCCTTTCTGCCTTCTGACAGCAAACTGCAAGCTCAAGTTCACTACAGCTTGCCAGTTCTCATTTGATGGTTTCTTACAGAATTGATAGATGTCAAAATTGAATACCTGGATTCTGGATCATCTTCCCTTCAGTATATTTGCATATTCAATCACTTATCAGATTTAGTTATGGACCTTCCTGCGATTCATTATGAACTTTTAAGGCAACAAAGCTCATGTGCTCACTTGCTTTTGTGCATGTGTTTGCATGTGAGACCATGTGCCTATTTGTGTGTCTTTGAAAAGCATCAAACCTCTTAGCAAGTTTCAGTTAAATCTGATGGATAAGTAAGAATCTCTGAGATAAGGGGTCCCTGTAATTCACATGAAAATGAGCTGCTGAATATCTGGAGAGAGGCCCGAATTACTTCCCCACTGAGAAAACAGCTGTTAATGTTAATTTGCTCAGCACTCTGGGAGGCACCTCTGAGCCAGCCCATGTGCAGCTACCAACCAGGCACAGCAAGGGGCTGTTGCCCCTCCAGTCCATCCAAGCAGGCAGGTGATGCAGGAGGGAGAGGAGGAGATTTGTGCAGTGGGAGGCAGGAAGAGGAGAGATTGAGAGCTGTAGGATATAATCCAATGGAAATAGGCCTTTGTTCTGCTGCTTTTTGTGCATTTTGTCACCAATTTAACAAAACCGTATCAGTTTCTGTAAATTCCATGGTAATTATTTCCATGTGATCTGTTTAATGCGTTACAAGATATAATTATGCAACCATGCAGTAGTTATATGGTGCTTCCTTAACATATTTTAATCACTGCTTATATCCAAGGATTTTATTTTTTCTTCACCAAGAACAATAAACTCCTGACCACTAGATGTTTTCCTACAATTCAGGGAAAAGTGGTGACCTCAAAACAAATTAGAGGTCAAACATGTTTTTCAATATGGGAGCTACATAGTCAATGATTCTGTTAGCCTTTGTCATTTAAATTAGTCTGCAGGGGAAAATTAGCCACAAACCCAACTATGTCAGGTTCAGAATATCATCCTTCAGCCCTGTGTGGATGAAAAGGTTGTGCATGCTCCCTCACTTCTCCCCATCCTTTCCCTGTTTTTCTTAACATGCTGAGCACATCATCTTGTGCCTCCATAAGATCTCAAAATAGAAATGTTTCTAATCCTGCACCTCTATTCGCAGAATATTCTTGAGCTGAAAGTCTATGATGAAAATGCGATGACTAAAGATGACCTCCTCTTCACTGTGCTCTTTGATGTTGCTAAAATCCAGCTTGGAGAAACCGTTCGCTTGACTTTTCAGCTAAATCCAAAGGTAAGGAATAAAACTGCCTTGGCCACAGGAAGGAAATAAATTTTTGGTATTACCTCCTAATTAACTTCTTGTAAAGCAATTGTAGGTGGGAAGGTTTATTTCCTATTGGTTTGCACTTTGTGTATCCTGTAAAATACCTTCCAAACCTTATTCGGCAAAGTGAACAAGATTTACCTCCCTACCTTGGACCATTTTACTCTGCCTCACTACCGAATGGACAAGTGCAGCCAGCCTGGGGACTGATGGTTAACAAAGGAGGGAGAATACTATCCACTCTAACTTGATTGCTTTCACTCATCTTAGCAAACCCTAGGGCAGGAGAGAAATTTGATTTTAAGAGCTGTTTCAGGAGCCAGAATAATCATTGACAACCATAGCTAGTGAGAAAGAAAAAATAATTCAAGTGCTTATAAGGAATTAATCTTTTACAGACACAAGAGATGCTGGAGGCTGAGTTTGCATCAGAGAGCATGTGAGTAAAACTCATACGAGACTGAAGAACTGTACTTTGCAAAAGCAAGCAAACACATGCTAACATTTAGTATAATACAGTTTAAAATGCTCAGCATCACAGCAACAGCTGGTGTTTATCAAGTTCGTTGCATATTGGCTAAAAGACTGTGTTCCTTATTTACCAAGAATCATCCTGGATACTAATTTGTGCCATTATTTGCTGGAAGAGGGAGAAGGATAATATGAATTGCAGCCACTGTGTTACTACTACTATTGTTTATCATTATCATTAAAAAAATAAGGAAGCCACATTTCAGATGTCTCCCAAAATTAAAAATCAGTGACATATTTGAGACTATGCTGGACAAAGCACCCTTTAAGAAAAGTGTTAGTCCTTGGTGTTCATTTAAGGACGTATTTAGGTTATATTAGTTCTGACTGCATTTTTTTTTCCCTTTCTTTCAGTCCAGTCCCTCCTGAGAAGCTTGTCACAAATGGTGTATTAGTGGTAATTTTAAACTATTTCTCTTCTATGTTCATTCTCATTTTCGTGCTAGTGATGAGTGGTGAATCTGGCAGGTGACCCAACACCTCACTTGCAGGCAGGGCTGAAGGGGGGGAGATGGGGGGTCAGACACTGGCAGCCATCCTGTTGTGCTGCTCCCTGTGGGAGAATGTGTTAGGAAGGAGTGAACACAGTCGTCGGAGATACCCAGAGACCTGTCTGCCACCACCAGCTGATAGCAAGCCTCTTGACAAAGCCTGAAGTGCATTTTTGCTGACTTACTGCCTCTGTGCCATTCCCTCTGGGGACTTCTCTTGGGACCCCCTCAGGGCCATCCTGTTTTCCCCACCTCCACAGGGTGATATGGAAGTTGCTTTCTTAAGTGCCCCTAACTCACTATTTAGAGGAGGTAGCACTTGGCTGTCCAACTTCACCAAAGCAGGGCTGTGAGGGCAGCTCCGTAATACGGCTGAGCCATCTGTCCACCCCTGGGAGGCCTCAGCACACTCCCATTCCCTCCCTTGTTATTTCCACTCCCTTCCCATCTCAGTGCCCACGGATAGACTGCAGCACCACAGCCATTTTTTCTTTCACATCTTTCTTGGCACATCTTCAGAGTGCCAAGGTCTTTCTCTTATCAGCCTAACAAACACAGGGTGGACAGTTTTCCAGACCCAGGGACCCGGGTGACCAGAGATGAGTAGCAATGAAGTGATTCAGATATGGCATGTTTTGAATACTTAATTCTCTCATCATTCATCCCCGCCACAGTCTCGTGAAATTTCCTGCTTGGAAGTCCTGGTGGACAATAGAAGGACAAAGAAAGAACCTTCAGGTTAGGCTTTAAACTAGAAACAAAAAATCTTATTTTACAGTAAACTGAAGATTTCTCAATTTTTTGTTATTTTCTTATCCAGTAATTTTCCTACTTTGTTCTTACAATTAGAGCACAGGAATTGAATGGTTAGGAATATATACAGGATCATAGATCCAACAATTATAGTATGTCTGTGCTAAATAACTATAAAAACTGGACTTTGAAATTTGAGTGAATGATTAGACTGATAACGAATCCTAATAGTGCTGTAAAATAGAAGTAAATGTATATTTCTATCTCAATAATTTACATTTTGCCCAATTTGCCTGTGTGTCTGAGGATTTTAAAACAGCTACTGCTGTTTTATAAGCTTTTTGGGTTTTTTTGTTTTCTTTCTTCTCCTTCTCCTTCTCCTTCTTTCTCCTTCTCCTTCTTTCTCCTTCTCCTTCTCCTTCTCCTTCTCCTTCTCCTTCTTTCTCCTTCTCCTTCTCCTTCTCCTTCTCCTTCTCCTTCTCCTTCTCCTTCTCCTTCTCCTTCTCCTTCTCTTTCTCTTTCTCTTTCTCTTTCTCCTTCTCCTTCTCCTTCTCCTTATTCTTCTCCCCCCTCCCCGTAATGTTCCCTGGCTAGATAAATAGAATCTGGGAGCTTTTAAGCATTGTTGAATGTTTTGTATATTAAAATGGCAACTTCTGAATGACCATTTAATGTTCTATTTCTGAGATCATAATCATTAACTTCTCTTATGGCTCTCTCTCTTTTTTTTTTTTTTTTTTTTTTTTGTCTTTTAGAAAAAGACTTCTTATTTTCAGTGAAGGGATCATATGAAGAGAGTCAGACTCTGTCGCTGGGCTCTTCCCAGAGACCTGTGGAGCCTCTGGACTTCCATTACATGAAGTACAGCCTGTCAGAGCTGCACGTGGCTCTAGCAGAGAAGAAGCCTCACTTCTGCTCGGTATGTGTTTGTTAGCTTTAGCAAGCACAGTAAACTCATGGTTTTCCATACTTGAGTGAGGCAAATGGAAAGAATTTGTATTTTTAATTAAAAAGCCATCTTTCGTGATCTTCTGCTTTGGAAGAGCACTGTACCCCCTAAAATGCCTAAATATTAGATGCCAACTTGGAAACTGCTGGATGGTGACCCCATTTGAAAAAATAAGATGGTGACAGTGCTTTTTTTGTGGTGTATACATTAAGTATTTTTCTACATTATAATTTATTTTTCAGTGCACCTCAGGTGAAGAGAAAAAAGACTGCCATGCATCCTTTACTATTCCTCTGGATTCACTTCCCTTCAAGGAGAAAGTAGCAGTAGCAGAGGTGATTGATACCAACTTTTTAGAATAAATATGAAGCTGTGGACCAAAGATCAATGGACATGAATTAACTAGATTAGTGTGAAGTAGAGGTTCAGATCTATAACTGCTAGTGCCCTTACATTCCTAACAGAGAGCGTTATGGACCTGTACATTTTCATATGAACCGAGTAGAACCAAAAACCACAGCCAAACATTTGAGAGAGGTATTTCTGTGACCAGCTGGGGACTAAGGTCAGACCAAATGCAAACGATGAGGCAAGACGCGGCACACTGGCAGAGCTGGTGCTGGTTTTTACTGTACACTGCTCTGTGTATCTTTAAAGCAATTTGAAGAAAATGAAGTGGACTTGGAGAAGTTTTAAAAATTGGATGGATTTTCTGATTGTTATGGCTTTGTGGGTCCAACATGACTCTTAGAAAAAGTGAAGGGCTTCAAAGCTGACTGAAAGGAGAGAAAAGGACATAAAATCATCTCCAGTGCTTATGTTGTGGTTTTTTTTTTTCCTAGGATGAAACAATCAATTTACATGTGAAGTCAAATGACTGGTAAGAAATACTGTCTTTGGGTTTTGTGGTTGTGAAAAAAAGATGCTGCCCAGCTTTTTGGCTTCTTGCCTTTTTCTGTAACTAAGTGATAAACCTATTAACCCCATGTTAGTTACCCATGTCCAGAAGGTGAATGTTGTTAACCGTACTGGGTGAAATTTCCTGTTATGGTACTATGCAGGAATTCAGTCTGGATGGGAAGAATAATCTGTTCTGGCTGCAAAATCCATAGAGCTACAAGTTAAGAAAAATACGTGTTTATACCTTGCTTTCCTTACTTGTAAAGAATCTAGGGTATTTGTATTTATGAAACCTGGAGGTCTTCAGGCAGGCAATAAATCCTAAATATTCCACTGTTTATAGTATCTGTATATGGATTGCAGTATTTTATGTTAGACACTTCTTGAAAATCAGTGAGGCAATAATATTTCTGGGTTGGGTTTTTTTGTGTAAGATTTTACAACTTTTTAACTTTCTCAGCCTTTTCTCTACCTTGTCTCTACTGTCTGTGATGTGTTTTTGTGAGGCTGCAGTAGCAGCTTTTCTAAGCCTAATAGTAGAGTTTGTGACTTGTAAGCATGGGTCCAGACATTAATTGTAAGTGATCATGCACATCCTATTTAACCCTGGACTTTATTTGAGGTCAAGAAACTTAGACGTTCGCTTGGAGTTTGATCTGTGTATGGAGGAGAAAAATTTCCTACAGAAACGGAGGAAGTTTGTGGCTTCTGCTCTGAAAAAAGCACTTCATTTAGAGCAAGACCTACAAGACCATGAGGTATGGAGAGCACCACAGGGACTGGACCGTGCTGTGCAACACGAATGTATTATGCTTGTAGCCATTTGCATATTGTTCCTTAACCATCACCGATGTATTCAGTGCCCTGTGTAAAGCATTGAGAAATGTTTAAATGAAACAATGTGAGAGCATGGGTGGTATTGAACCCACTTGCTAAGCATATTTGCTCAGAAAACAGAATGTCATAAGTCAGCATTTTTTCCCTGCCTTATTTCTTTTTCACCTGTGAATTATAGACCTGGATAGTCCTACTCTCTTAGCTGAGCGTTCAGCCACCAAGACCCCATAAGGTATTTTATATTATTGGATTTTGGAGGGAGAAAACCTAACAGTTAAAGTGACACATAACACTGACTGATGAGGATATTTCTTATCACAGACTCTCTCCTCTGGTGCTCATGATCTCAGCTGTACTGTCATTCTAACAGCCCGAAGACATTCATTCAACATTTTTCTCTCATCTGTCTGACTGAGTTAGGGTTTGTATTTGTTCATGCCCATGCTGGCATGGGGATGGTTGGTGCTTTAGGGAGGGAATGTGGTCTGTGATCAGGCACTTCAGAAATAGAGAAGTTTTCATTATGAGAGGGTCTGGGTTTTTTGGGGGGGGTTTGGGGTTTTTTGTTTGTTTGTTTGTTTTTGTTTTTTCATTTGTGCTTTTCCCTTTGTCCAGGACAGCTGGACCAAAGGCATATTAAACATTACACGACAGAATGGCTTTGGATGCTATAAATTATGTCCTTGCTCAAAACCTGATCACATCCATGTATTGTTTCTCATTAGCACACTAGTTTTAGTGGAAAAAAGCAGTTCCTTAAGTATAAGAATTTTTTAGGTCAAGTATTTCTAACTACTAATTTCGGATTTTCCAACAAGACAATGTTTTCTCATAGTCAGGTAAACCCAAATCAGAATATTTGATTTGACCTGAAATTCGTGATTTGAATCAGGTAGCTGCTGAGTATTTCCTTGATGCAATTGCCTGGAAATGTGTATGGGAAATGTCATTTGGCTCCTCTTCTCTCAGTGGGTTTGTTTGGAGGAATTTGTCTTCCTGTAACACAATTTAGATTTCCATGCAATTAGGCTTTGTGGTTCATCCCTGCAATTATATACACTAGGTACTTTATAGGAAATGTAATCTAGTCATTATACTTGACTTACAAGAGAGGATGAGCTCTGCTTGTTCTCAAAATAAAGCTCTCATGACATGATGTACCACTAAAGAAAACGGAGTCTAATGTTGAAATGCCTTGAAACAACAAGTTTTGAGCTGTTTTGGTAACACAGCATGTAACAATTTAAAATCAAAATTAACTGATTTTGATCAAAAATTAGCTATTTACCAAATAGCTAATAATGATGATAATGATGATAATGTTATGCAAAATACCAGGTTTTCATCTTTTTCTCCCCTGCTTGGGGAAATGGTGAAATATTGGCATTTCTTGTGGGGCAGAAAAGCTGCAATTCACTCAGCTCTGATCGCATGTGCTGGTAAACTAAGTTGTTGCTTCACTGCTGTGTTGCTGTTTACACAGGTACCAGTTGTAGCAGTCATGACAACAGGTGGTGGCACTCGGGCACTGACATCTCTGTTAGGCAACCTGTTGGGTCTTCAGAAGCTGGAGCTCTTAGATGCTATTTCATATATTACTGGGTCATCTGGTTCAACATGGTAAGGAGATCCTGAACAAAGACATAATTCATCACCTCTATAGTCTGCTATGTGACAGATTTATTCTCTTTGTTTTGGTAAAGGAAGGCGTACTACTTCAGTCTCGATTTTTTTTATTGCTGCATTAGGAATACATTTTCTGAGCCAGAATATGGTCTAGGTCCTGCTTACAGGGAACATAATTTTCCTTGACCCTTTTGTTGCAAATCACAGCCTTGTGCATAAATCTACGCAGCTTTTTGCAAGTCCTCAGGTTTCACCAGTGACATTTGGAGGGTCCTCTAAGTCAAAAAATCTTGTCAATAATAAACTGAGCCCAAAAGATGTTTTTAATGAACCTCAGCTTGTTCATTTGATGTGGTCCTTAAATTCAGGTCTAAAAAGTGAAAGCATCTAGAGCATATGATAATGTATTTCCTTTCTTTTCCCCAGGACCTTGTCACATTTGTATCAGAGCGCTGACTGGTCACATAAAGATCTGTCCAGACCGATTGGTGAAGTCCGCAGACATATGACCAAGTGCAAGCTAAGCTGCTTTTCCCTGGAGAGCTTGAAGTACTATGACAAGGAGCTAAAACTGCGGAAGCAAGAGGGATACCAGATCTCTAGCATTGATTTTTGGGGTCTTCTGCTGGAAAAAGCATTAAGTGATGGGGTAGTGTGTCTGTGTTTTCCCTAAGAGCTACTGAATACTGTTGTATGGAAAATGAAGCTCCAGGGACAGATGCTACCCTGAGAGCATGCCAGCATTATCCAGCAGATGATTTCTACTAACAAAGGGGATTTGTCCCCACATATCTCTCAACACATAATTAGCAGCCCAAGGGGTAGAGCAGAAAACCTGTGTCTCCTTCTACTAGTATGAGTATCTGAGCACCTAACAGCAGAGTACTGGTCTCGATTTCGTTTGCTCTGTTCCTCCCTGTGAGAATTTAAATAATCCATCTAAAGTGGATGCATTTACAGGGAAGAATGAGACACCATTGTACCACAAAGTGTCTTACAGCTCACCTGTAATTAAATAAGCTTATGTAGATGTGTAAATGTTTAGATCATTCCTTGACTAAAAAATGTCTGGACACAAAATGAGTGGAGAGAATAAGAAAATGAAGATGGAAACAGGTATTTATTTTGCTGTAATCTTGCAAGCCCACACACCATGCCAAGAAGGTCCCTTGGTTTTGGTCTTTCTCTGTTTCTGGTCAATTCACAGAAAAACAACCACAAACTCTCAGATGAGCGACAGGCATTGAATCAGGGTCAGAATCCCCTACCTATCTACATGATCCTCAACATCAAAGAAGACTACAGCCTTTCAGAGTTCAAAGGTGATGGCAAAACTGAGTTGTATCTGGACTCGGTTGGTGTTCAAATGATCTGCATTATCAGTTACTGCATGTCCTGCAACCCCTTGCACTGCTGGACTATAGCATTCATAAACAGTTCCTTTTCTTCCTTTAACTTCCTCATCCTCTTCCTTTTCTAGACTTTGTGCCTAGGCTCTGGGAGGAACCCATCTTCTATGGGGCAGGGGAAATATGGGGGAGGTGCTTAAGGACAGCCAAGGTACTCACAAGTCAAAGCCTTAGCTCCACATCTGGGGTGACTTAGGCTGACCCCTTTTGGTATAAACTTCACTTATGTCCTGTCTGGAGAGGCTCATTGGAAAGTTCAGAATGAACAAGCTTGGGAAATGTTACTGAGTGGCTGAAACCAGTTGAATGATAATTCCTTACCCAGAGGAAGGCTAGTGTGTGATCATCCTGTTGATAGGGTTTGTCCTGCAGCTGCTTCCTTGTGATTTCAGAGCCCTTCCTGCAGGGAGGTAGGGATAGGATTGAGATTTAAAAGCTCATTTTGTGCCTCTGCAGAATGGGTGGAGTTCACCCCTTATGAGGTCGGGTTCTTAAAATACGGCGCCTTCATTCGTGCAGAGGATTTTGGCAGCGAGTTCTTCATGGGTCGCCTGATGAAGAAGCTCCCTGAATCCCGCATCTGTTTCATGAAAGGTGATGTGCTCCATTGAGAAAATTTGAATTGCGTAAAAATTTTCTTTATTTTAAATATAATACAGACCCTGCATATTGCAGCCAGTGCCCTGCAACATGCAGGACTGAAGCAAAGTGTACAACACATTGTTCCCACCTCTGTCTGAATTCCTTAGACACTGGAGATGGGCTAAAAAATACTTAGAGGAAATTTTAAATAACACTATTCACTGTTGCTTTTGTCTTGAATGGTGACTCTTATGCCTGAAGTTTCAGGGCTGCTTAAATAGGTTAGGTTCATTTTGAACTGATGAGCGGCATAATTCCACATGGAAAACATTTGTATTTTGAAACTGGAATCTTAAACCCAAATTTGTCTATGAATGCCATGATTTTATAACAAAAAGCAACGTTGTTACTGAGTTTGTTATAAAATATGGCAATTTTGAGTAGTTTTCTGAAATGTTACTGATATTTTTGCAAGTTTAATAGTATCCTAAATTCTTTGTAATTTTGCTAGCATGATTAAATCAGTGAGTTTTGTCATCCTTATTTCAGTAACGTGGATAGCTCCCAGTAATGCGTGAAAGACAGCTTTGCAGTTTTTATGCAATTCTTGTTTTAATTTTGCGTAATGCTAGAACTCTCTACCACACCCCTTTGTACACTGGTTCTCTGGGGTGAAGTTGGCTGCAGAAGAGTCCATCTGCTCTTAAAACTGAACAACAGATGTATTATGTGTAAATAAGCAAAACACAAAACAGGACACCAAGGATACCAGTAGGAAAGGATTTACTTATGACCTGAAAAATCCACACAACCAGCAACACAATGTGGTATTCCTTATTTGATGTGCAGAGAAGTTGTGTACCTCAAAGTATGATGCAGGAGGAGTCCAGAGTCATATTGGTAGAATCATGAGAAAATAGCTGGCCATGAGGAACAGAAGACTAAAGGAGGAACACAGGCACTACATCTCAGAGTTTTTAATGGTTATGCTTAGAGCTTTTAGTGATGTCATGAGTTAAGAAAAGAGGTGGTTGAGGGAAAAGACTCACAAGATAACAGAGGATCCTGGATTATAAATAGGTCTAAAAAGGGGAGGACAAATTCATGGAAGGTAGTCCCATTGCTGGCTCTGAAACACAGTAGTTCAGATGCAGCCACCAGCACTAGAAGTACCAAATCCAGAACCTTGAGATGCTGGAGAGGAGATTCCCTTTGTACTTTCCATTTTCTTGTATTCTTCCATTAAGCATTCTGTGCTGACTGTCAGAGGTAGGAAGTAGATTGCAGAGCTAGATGGAACTACAGAGACTTCTTCTGAGAACGTTGTGCCTCCATTGCAGGCACACCAGCGACGGTGATGTAGTGTGTTCATACCCGAGGTGATCAGGTAGCAAGCACACCCAACACATCCAGTCGGGGCTGAGCTCTGCGTTCTCACTCTCAGCACCTGAATTAGGCTGGTGACTCCACAGCCATAGGTGTATCCTGAGAAAGGATAGAGTGGAGCGTTAAAGAAATGTTGCCATCTAGTGATACAACACGTAATGCCCTCTTGGGTTGCAAATAAAATGTGCTATTAGTTACAGCATGATAGTTTAAGGATAAAAGCAAGGTGTCATTTGCAGGGAGAAGTAAAGCCTTTTACTAAAGCAATGACTACAGCTGGAAAGATTGGATGAGCTTATAGGGATACAAGACCCTCAGGTTTCCAGAAGAAAGATTGAGGTGCATTAAAGCTTATCTGCTATTTTCAACTCTGTCAGCCTAGTAAAAGATACCATCTCTCCTTATAGTTCTTACTTCAGCAAATATAGGTACCATGAAAATCTAGTGCAAGAGGTTAGGGAAACATTGGTATGTAACTGTGACCAAGTTCTGGGGGTCCAACAGTGTTTGGAAGATATTAAAATGCACAAGCAGTGCGAAACAACTGAGGCTCGGGGAGCCAGAATAGTTATGGAGTGAGAAAACACCAAGTGAAGACAGGAAAAATGAGAACAGTTGCCTTCTGTGAGAAGCAGGCCTGGACAGAAACTTCTCAAGCTGCAGGGAGATGAGGTTGTATTGATGGAAACTGGCCAGTAATTATCTGCAAATGGATTCTGATTGCCAGCTAAGTGTAGAGCCAGAGACCCCCTATCTGATTTCTTAATTGTGTATTTCTCATGTTTTTCAAGTGAGTCCCACTCTTATGGGGACTTCCTGTGAAGCAGAAGACCCTTGGCTTCTTGTCCTACTCCACAAACAAGCCAGGTTTAAAAGGGAATTGTATTTCTGTTACTAATTTATGGAATGCATAATTATTGTATGGTGCAATTCAAATTATTGCATCCTTTGTGATGTATGGCTTTTGCAAAGCTTTTACTGGTAGAGATTTTCAAGGCAAAGCTCGGCACTGCCTTCTCTGGCAGAGTTCCTCTCGGGGCCTGCGGCAGAGCTGTGAAGGAAGAAATACTTTTTAAGATCCAAGAGGCTTTTGGAGATTTCTGCACTGGGGAGACATGTTTAGATGTTCTCTGAAGTGGGAGAGCAAAAGTGAAAGAAGGACTATGGGGATGAGAATAACAAGGAGAGGAAGAGAAGTCTCAAAAGAACTTGTGGCAAGAGAAATCTTCGAAGAGTCTGTGAAGATGTCTTGTTCTAGAGGACTGCTCTGCAGACTATACCAAGCTGTGCTCTAACCACTGGAATCTTGGCTGTTCAGGAGCAGCCTCCAAACCTTTAACTGAGTATATGGTTGTATATGACATACTTTATAGACCAAACCCTTATTTTATGGGAAATGACTGTTGGTTTGCAGCGTATCAGCAATAGCTGTATGTGACAATGAATTACAGTGGCTGATGGCTTGGCACAATGTTTAAAACTATTTAGGTTCCTCTTTGAGGACAGAATGTGAGTTGCAGCAAAAGAACTTCATACAGGTTTTGGTGAGAGTTTGGAAACCTTGAGGCTTTCTGATAACCCTTGCAAAGCTGAAAGGTTATTTTTTTAAAAGGATATTTTCCATTAAAATGTTTCCAAATCAGTTTCCCTGTTCTCTACCATTGCACAGGCCTGTGGAGCAATGTCTTTTCCTACAACCTCTTGGATGCCTGGCATTCATCAGATCCTACAGAAAGGTGCTCACTGAGGTGTACCCAACACAGGACTGTTGATGTTGGTTGGTTAAGTTTCTGTTTCTACTTTACCTGCTGTCTTATGAATCTTTAAATGAATGTTATATTCAGATGCATATAGAGTGACATTTTTGTGAAAGCTTTTCAAATCTTAAAACTGAGGCCAATGCTGC